GGTAAGAAATATTTTTGAGACCATGACTCTCACGGTGGCCATGCTAATAGGTATCTTCTTCTGTGCTCTGATTATACTACATTATGTAATATAGAGCAATAGATCTGTGTAGGAGCTGCTGTACCAATTGTAACATCAAGGGTTTTTTCAATGCTATATATATTGGTTGACAACCAAACACAGGGATTTCACTGCATGCTGAAGTTTTATCTTTACTTTGAAATAAGTAGGTGATGCAAGGCAGGTATATTCTTGACAGCTGAAAAAAGATCTGAGGCAATTAAAAAAATGGAGCATGTCCTTTTGGAAGCAATTTGCCTCCCTCTAGAAATTTTTGCAAGCTTAACTCTATCTACACTATAGAAAAACAAAGCCAGAAAAGGAAAACAACATTCCAGCATCTGTTATCACATCAGAAACATCAATGCTCTGTTCTCTACAACAACCTGCCACAGAATACATGCTATTGAGGTTTCTTCTGTCATCATAACTATCCATTACTCCATGCATTACTAGCTATTGGTGCAAAAACCAAGGCCATGGAAAGCCCTGCTAAAAGCTGATGTGTCAACGACTTGGGTTGTGCTAGCCCGACCTCATGGAAACCAACTCACACAGCAGATTTGGACACTTTTTGTAATTCCTTGTTTCTTATTGTATCCTTAATGCCAGAGTAAAGGAAAGATGTTTGCATGACCGTGTGGCTTCTATGAACCTCAAATGGAGGATGTGGTGGGGGCGCCATTTGCTGCGCTGCTTCAAACTGCAAAATATCTTGTGCTGCCCCAGCCCTATACTCCTGACATCGTTTAGACGGGAAACTTGGATATCAAATAAAAATATTCCCATGATCCTCAGGCTCACTTCCATTAGTGTTTTTCCCCATGCAATTTATTACAAGGAGGGGAAAAGAGAGGTCTTCCGTTTTTCGGGCTGTATGGTCATGTTCTAGAAGCATTCTCTCCTGACATTTCACCTGCATATATGGCAGCATCCTCAGAGGTTGTGAGGTCTTACATACAGCTCAAAAAACCTACGACAACCCAGTGATTCCAGCCATGAAAGCTTTCGACTATACATCTTCCTAATTTGCTTGGCTACCTTGAATTACACAAAAAGAGAAACAGGGCAGTGTCTGCTACTCTGTTCCACCACTGCTTATTATTGGGGATCTTAGCCTTCATGGTTTGTCATCATGAGTGTGGCTCCATAACAAAAGGAAATGTCCATGTGTTAAAAGAGATAAGGTCTATAGCTATCCCTCCTTGATAGGCAGAGCAGTCTTTGTCCTAGATAGGACATTTCTTAGCCCTAAGCACATAGTACCCATCATCCCCTCCTGTTGTAGTAAAACTGGTGTGACGGCCAAGCCAGAAGAATGGAAAAGCAGTCACCTTTCCCTCCTTCCTCCTCTTCCATATTGAAAGTGTATTAGCTTACATAACAGGCTATGTAAAGATCAAGTTAGCAGAAAAGATGAATATGAATACCAGGAATTAAGTTATTGGCATGTTTTCCCCCTGAACATAATTTGGTCGCTAGATTAGGTATCTCACTTGTTTTTCAGATTCAAACTGAAAAACAAGTGTATATATATTACTAGTTTAAAGAAAGGGCCGCGAGAACATTGGAAAAATAAAAATATACACAGTTGGTTTAAACCTTTGTGGCCAGCCATTTATACAGGGTTAGTCAAAATGAATAGGCCAATAAGAAAATTAATTTTAGACGAATGTATGTTTATTGTAACCAAACTACAGCTACGTAGCGACAGATAAACTATCAAAGTTTTGTCTCACCTTCAGAGATGTTCGATATGGGCGCCCCGTGTGACACGGCAGATGTCCAAGCGATAGTCCAGTTCATTCCACATCCGTTGCAGCACATCCGACGTAATGGCATCGAATGCAGCAACGTCTGGGAAGGTGTTCGTTGAGGTCCTAACCCTAACCCTAACCCTAACCCTACCCCTAACCCTATCCCTAACCCTAACCCTAACCCTATCCCTAACCCTAACCCTAACCCTAACCCTAACCCTAACCCTATCCCTAAGCCTAACCCTAACCCTAACGCCCCTAACCTCGCGGGCTGTCAACCCTATCCCTAACCCTAACCCTAACCCTAACCCTAACCCTACCCCTAACCCTATCCCTAACCCTAACCCTAACCCTAACCCTAACCCTATCCCTAACCCTAACCCTAACCCTACCCTAACCCTAACCCTAACCCTAACCCTATCCCTAACCCTAACCCTAACCCTAACCCTAACCCTTGAAATTCTCGCTGGACCGTAATTACTGACATTGTTTTAGCAAATGTCATCACACAAAACGCCTTCTCTTTGCTTGATTCCGCCATTTTGAAAACAGCGACCCCTAGCGACACCTAGCGGCATTAACGTACATGTGTGTTGCTCAAAAAAACTTTGATAGTTTATCTGTCGCTACGTAGCTGTGGTTTGGTTACAGTAAACATACATTCGTCTAAAATTAATTTTCTTATTGGCCTATTCATTTTGACTAACCCTGTATTTAGCATAAATAGCTGTGCTTCTTTACCTCTAGATCTATTTTCAATCTTTGCTGTTAAGTCCTTTGCTACTCCAGAAAACAATAGCATCCCATAGCAATACGCCTCCAATTATGCCCTATTCATCATAACAACTGCAAAAACAAACAAACATATACTTATTGCAAGAAAGAAATATATCTCTATTTCAGCAGATAAAACAGAAAAGCAAAGCAAAGGAAACTCAAGGGATTATTTAAGTAATTAAAGTGACTGTGATTCTGAGAAATTACCTGTCATAGAAAACCTTAAATTCACAGACCCTGGGAGGCTTTTCCAGATGAGGCTTTTACCTCATTCATTGGATTTTTTGAAAAGTCTCGTCTTAAATTGCTCCTACTTTTGTTTTCAGACATTAAATGGATACTGTGGTTGTATGTCATTGTCACAAATTTTAAAAAAATAACACTGCCGCCCCAAAAAAACACACACATCTATGTGTATATAGATATATATAGATATATAGACAGACAAACCAAAATGCTAAGCACTTTAAAAAAAACCTAGGGTTCCAACTTAATATTTTCTCTAATGACTGTTTTTTTGCTATAGGATTAGAACTAGCACTAAAGTGAATGATGCTGCGATGGGAGACAGGGAATGACAATGAAGTGTAGGGGGGAAAAAGAACAATATATGCCATGACCTTTTTCCTACATCTCTTGGTCAGATTTCCTGTTTCCAAATGCAGTAAGCAGACACTGTCCCCAAACCAGCGTTAAAGCAAAATTCAATTACTCCTCTGGTTGCTTTTGTATGAGGAATATGGTGCAAAAGGGGAGATTTGTCCTTCACTTCCTCGGCAGAATGTCTTGGGCTGAATTTTTACAAAGGAATATTTCATCATGTGAACTTTCACCTGCCATTTGCAGTGAGACATTTCAGAAATAGGTCTCTTGTGTACAGGCTGTTTTGAATGTGTGTATGAAAGACAGAAATATACCTCAGTGAGCTTAAAGAAACCATATGCATGTGGATGGAAGTACAATAAAAAAATGAACTCCATTATATGTAGATAGATAGCATGTTTCTCTGTCTATGCCAGAGAATGCAGAGGCATTTTGGTAGTACTACCTGTCACAGGTAAAGTGGTAGCTACTGCTAGCAGAACCCAACTGATGTATTTTGGATAAATCCCTATCAACATGAAACCTTAATAATTATGCAGCTCCTGTTCTATTCCGTTAGTAAAATACTGCCAGGAACTAATGCCATGTTGTGAAACATTTTGCATTTTGCAATATTTATCATACCTCAACATGAATATTTATTTAGCATGGATACCAACATGAATAATAGTTACTAATTTTGTTGTATGCATTGAAGTCATTTCTGATGCATGGTGACCCTAAGTTGGACCCTAAGATGGTGAGATTTGTTGGGAGTGGGTGCTATTGCCTTCTTCTGAGGCTGACAGGTCACCTTGTGGGTTTCCATAACTATACTGGAATTTGAGCTCTGGCCTTCCTAATCCAACACTCAAGCCACTGAACAACACTGGCCCTCTACTGTTACTTTCTAATGTTCCCTTGTAAATTTAATTTGCTCCCAAGGCTAAGAAAGAAGGGTAAACCACTAAAATATTTGTTTTAAATCAGGGGTGAGAATCATATGCACATTCAGATGTGGCTTTTGTACCTCAAGACTGATAAGCCATAACCATCATAGTCATAGTTCAGGGATGCTGAGAGATTCGGCTCAACAATACCTGGGGAGCCATATAATCGCTACCCTTCTTGAAAACATTACCCTGTACAGTATGTCAATGGCTTTGGATCCAGGACCTCCTGTGGACACCCAATCCACAGGTGTTCAAATCCCATTATATATAATGACATAGTGAATGGCAAAACAGCAAAATCAGGCTTAGTTTTTTAGAATTATAAAAATATTTTCAAGTCATGGATGTCTGAATCCATGGAGGCAAAATATATGATTCCGGAAATTTAAAATCCCAATAGTGGGTCTATACAACTGAGCTTTCAAACCCATGGCCAATCCATATTGCTCATTGACACAGCAGTTACAGTTTTTCTCAGAAGACCAATATGGATTAAAACTTGGACCAATCTTTATAGAAATCCCTCTCTACCATTAAACTGTCCCTTTCAGCCTAAACTGCCTCAGTTTCCTATAGGAAAAATTAAGACTAAATTTCTGCCTGCCTGCCCCCTAATGCAATAAATAATAGTAGTAATCATATATCATTTATAATGTAAAATTAAATAGGCTATTTGAACCATCAGGCAAAACTAACAATCATATAGCCAGCTACTTGTCCTTTTATTGGTAAGTCTGCTGTTAATGCTTTAGTATCCCAAAGAAAATCATTAGCTGTTTCATATTACTGAGATAGTGAGTATTAATGTGCTGATAAATCAGTATTTTGTAGTTTCCATAAATATTTATGCTCTCTTTTTCTTTAACGACAGCTAATGTGCTGGAAGGAGACTCAATGGAGCAGGACGTGGAGAGCCCTGTTACAATTCATCCACCAAAGTTGCCAAAACAAGCCAGAGAAGATCTGCCAAAGCATTTAAACAAAGAATGTACCAAGAGAAGAATCCAGAGATACGTTAGGAAGGATGGAAAGTGCAACGTTCACCATGGAAATGTAAGAGAGACTTATCGTTACCTGACTGATATCTTCACTACCTTGGTTGACCTCAAGTGGAGATTCAACCTTTTAATATTTGTCATGGTTTATACTGTGACTTGGCTGTTCTTTGGATTCATCTGGTGGTTAATTGCATACATCCGAGGAGATATGGAGCACATAGGAGATAAGAAATGGACCCCTTGTGTCAGTAACCTCAATGGGTTTGTCTCAGCCTTTTTATTCTCCATAGAGACAGAAACCACCATTGGATATGGCTATCGGGTCATCACAGACAAATGTCCTGAAGGAATTATCCTGCTTTTAGTTCAGTCTGTTCTAGGATCTATAGTTAATGCCTTCATGGTTGGCTGTATGTTTGTAAAAATTTCTCAACCCAAGAAGAGGGCTGAAACCTTGGTGTTTTCTACCAATGCTGTCATTTCCATGCGAGATGGGAAGCTATGTCTGATGTTCCGTGTGGGGGATCTTAGGAATTCGCACATTGTGGAAGCATCAATACGAGCCAAGTTGATCAAGTCTAAACAGACAAAAGAGGGAGAATTTATACCACTCAATCAGACAGATATCAATGTGGGTTATTATACAGGGGACGATCGCCTGTTTTTGGTTTCACCACTGATCATCAGCCATGAAATAAACCAACAGAGTCCTTTCTGGGAGATTTCCAAAGCCCAATTGCCCAAAGAAGAATTAGAAATAGTTGTAATCCTAGAAGGAATGGTGGAAGCAACAGGTAACATTTATTTTCCGCATGTTTACTGTAATTTGAAACTTCTCCTAAAACGTTAAAGGAAGATGTTGCATTGTATAAGAGGTAAAAGGTAACCTGCATAAATATGCAAGGAGCTATGCTATCAGTGTTTGTCACAATGTGTATCCTCAGGTCTAAGGGTTAATCTTGTTCCTATAGCAAGTGTGTGATAATAAAAAAAGAATGAAAAAGTAGTCATAGAGTAAAAAAAAAATGAGTCAGATGTTCTGAACCCCTGATTCAAGTCAGTAAAAACATGTCAGAATAATGTATTGTTTGTGCATTTATAAATATGTGAACCTGATCCTGCACTAACTTTCAAATATACTCAGTTTATCACAAGGAAGGCCAAAAATTGGAAAGGTATGTTGAATTATGGGGTTATTCTCACATAAAATTGATGTCAAAGTAAAAGGACATATTGTTTGCCAGAAATGAATGATTATATTGGTTTTGTCTTGATGTTGCTTTTTTATTTTTGCCTATTTTTGCACCCTCCTTCCAGGAAAAACTACAGGCACTCTGCACAGTTGCAGTTTGATATATTGCCCAAAAGGGATACATCCTAGGAGAGATTTAGGATAGCAAATTAGAGGTATTTGTACTCTGACACTTATGTGTCATCAAGTCAATTTTGCCTTGAAGAAAACCCAGTCATACATATTCTTGGCATTTGTTTAGAAGAGGTTCACCATTTCCTCCCTCTGAGTTTGAGACACTTACTGAAGGCCACCCAATGGTTATTCATGACTGAGCAGGAATTCAAACCCTGGTATATAAGAATCCTAGTGCAGTGCTCAAATCATGAGACCATACTGACTGGTATCATGATTTGAGTATTGGATTAGGATTCTGAGAGACCAGGATTTATTGATATTTAGTTAAAGTTCATTCTGCCAACCATTCAAACTATATGTTATTATTTTAACTATATGTTGTCAGAGAAATCAGATACATTTTACAGCATCACACTTTCTAAAATTGTCA